TAGGTATTCTGAATCGATGTTAGAGTCACTAGAATTTCTTTTCGTAAAATTTTTCGTGTTCCATTTCTTAAGTGAGCCACTGTATATCCGATTATTGGTTCTTAGCATTAAAAAAAATAGATTTCGGAAAAATTATCGCCGGTAATATTAATCTTAAACACAGCTGATAAAGAATTATTTTAAAAATTATATTATTAAAGTTTCTAGGAAATTGGTCCAATTTATTACGAATATTATGAATCTTTAACCTGGAACTAAAAGAATTTCTAGACTCACATCCGAGAACGATGTACATTGCATTCAGTGACCGTTTATGGACAACTATGAAAAAATTATGCAAACTATCCTCGAAGCAATGAACACAAAACTTCTTGACGGTGTAATTTGGTCAATTTCTGTATCACATTTGGAGGGTATTCCTGGAAATATTACACTCAACGACAATACAGTTACTGACATTGCTCAGATAGTTGTGAGCAAACATCCTCATATTCTTCTACAAAATTGGGTGCCGCAATTTGCAACTCTTAATCATACGAACACAAAACTCTATCTCACACATGGTGGCATTCCAAAATGTCCATGAATCTCTCTACCATGCCGTTCCAATGCTCATGCTGTCTTTATACATTGATCAACGGGAAAACGCCGAGAAACTCATGCTACAAGGATATGCACTAGCAGTATCGAAACTTTACTTTATCTGTCATTGAAATACTTTTCAAAATGCGTATATTAATGACAGACGACCGAATAAAATCGAATCTTTAAGAATGCAAACTTTAGCGGGAATCGCAAGTATCGTGCTGCCGATTTGATGGAATGATGCACCTGTTTCAGCTTGTTGATGGCGAGACATCGTTCGTATTAGTCATTTTTATACTTGCATCGTGAAAGAGGTTAATGCAATTCGGCCGGTATATGACATGAAAGCACCTTTGTTATGTAAAATGATGGTTTGTATATCAAGAACATTTTACTAACACATGTATTATTTTACATAAAAGAATTACAACTACATTAACATAACAGGTTCCGTTACGAACCAAAATCCCGATAATACAACATCCTGACAATTCACATCTCAGCTGTTCACAGTCGACAATGATAATCGATTGTTTCTTGTAAATAGACATGAATTGTCGGGATGTTGTATTGTCGAGATTTTGTTTGTCAGGCTATTGGATATGCCTACATTTTAACAATACGATTTGACATTAAATTCCGAACATATGATAATGATTTGGCGTATTTCAAAACATCTATTGTCACGCAGACATATACATGTACTGTACATGTATATTTTCAAGATTTTGTATGAACTTATTTTTAATGCAATGCACGGAAAAATTCTCCTGAAGGAAATTTTTATCCTGCCCCAAAAAGATAGGATTCAAATCATGAGTTTAGATCATATGAGTTTTCTGCAACGACTTTTGTCCTACACCGTACATGTATCCTGGATAAAAAAGTTGTTTTTTTATCCAGAATTTTGTTCGAGGATAAAACTTCGTTTTTCATTGGTTTAGGCTGGTTCTTGTTGTTACATGTAATAAACCGGATTTTGATGCGTAAAGTTTCTTAGTGAGAAAATGACTATAGTCGCACTACTCTGAATGCACCTCCTCTAAATGCATACCTCGTCTAAATGCACACATTATTAAGCTAGTCTCATGATGAGACTTATTGGGCTTATTGAATGCATGTGCACGGGTGTATAGGAAAAATTCCTATAGTCCCACTAAACCTCTAAGTGCATGAAATCACGTGATTATAATAATTTTGACCAGAATTATGAAATTTTGATCAAAAATTAACAATTATTACCCTTTAAAAATTTATGTGTCATTTATTTTTCTTATTGCAATAAAAAAATCTGTTAATATAACTGCGACAGTAAATGTATGAACATTTTCTCTTTCATAGTTGGATACATGTAATTTGTGATCTTTATCATTTTTTTTCTAAATGCACACCCCTCTAAGTGCACACAATCGGGCTGGTCCCGAGTGTGTGCATTTAGAGGAGTGTGACTGTATTTATAATTCCGGGTTGCATGATATGTGCATGTAGAGTACAAGAAAAAACGATCTGACTATCGGTTTAAACACAGAGAAACGAAAAAAAGTGAAAAATATAAGAAACCTATACATAAATCTAGCTTTGTGTATTAATAAAAAATGTTCGGAAGAAAATTTTATATCTAATCTGATTTCGAACTCTAAACCCTAACTTTTATAAAACAAAACTTTAATATTATATATTACCGTTACATGCTGTCCTGAAGATTATTTTGCATGTAACACCTTTGAATCACATGTACATGTAACATGTGAAGAATATCGATTATTGTGCTTTCCATTCTGGTATTTAAACTTCATTCTGACAATCTTGTATCACAAAGTTTATTTTTTTGATAGCTTAAAGGAGTTAGTTCCACTGAAAAAAATATATTTGATCACTTGTGTTGTTTCATATTGAAACAAACCTATAAAGAAAATTCCATTAATTACTTGATTGCTTATGAAAAGTTATAAATATACTATCGTCCCACCCAAACCTAAAATCAACGAACCACGATTTACTTTTTCCTGTAAGCCGTATTGCCTTTTCCTACCCATCATTCTCGTTATTTTTATTGTGAATATGCTAAATGATATAACTAACCATTTTATAACACATGTTTCACCAAAAACGGATGATATTTTGTAAATTACGGCGAATGTGCGTAATAAAATCATTATCACTGTAAAACATCTTCAATTGTAAATAATGCTGTATATCCAAATGTAGTAATTGATAATCATTTTTGGACAACGAAAATGACAGTAAATATATTACGCAAATCTGAAGTAATAATGTACTAGCGCTAGTTTTTTTAAGTACACAGTGAAAAAGTGAGATTTCATATAAAATCTTCTCAGCAGTAAAAAACGATAACGATAATTAAAAATATCATATTCACGTTCAAATCACAATCCAATAAAACTCAATTAAAAAAACCCCCGCGTACTAAAAATAAAATAAATAATCCAAAAAATGCAATCACCAGACCTCGAAATATCCTCACCACCAACACACACGCTTGAACCACAACAACTCGCTAGCGGCAAAAATGGACCGCAAATTTTACCATCAAATTCCGAGAAACTAGACCATGAGGATAACGAAAATAACAGTGGTCTCCTGAAAAGCAAAGAAATGTTTGATTTTTCGGATCTGGGAAACATTAGAGTTTGGAGAAATGCTAGTGCAGAATTTTGGGCGGCTGGTGTGTTGACATTTATGGTTGGTGCATCAGTTGCGTTGACTTCGAATGCTTCGTAAGTTTGTTCTTCCTTAAGTAAATAATAAGTGGAAAGGATAATTGATAAAATTATTTGACTTTTATTACACGTACATGTACTAGTTATCCATTTCCTTCCATTTTTATTGGATTTGCACATCTTCCGATTATAGGGTTATTGATTGTGGCCATCGGTCCTATTTCAGGTAAGAAGACATGAAATTTCATTTTCAAAGATATTTTACGAATCTTCGAAATTGGAAACTGTTTTTCTTAACTTTTAAAATATACAAATTTTTAGGCGGCCATTTAAATCCTATTGTAACAATGACAGCAGTATTCACACGTGTCCTCTCCTTCCCATGTGGACTTGCCTACATTGCATGCCAAACAGTAGGTGCCGCACTTGGTGGTGCTCTCCTGCGTTCCCTATGCACCCAAAAGACAATTGACACCACATCACTGGGCGCATGCGTGTTCGAAAATACAATGTTCTCAGTCGGAAGTGCGTTTATCGGTGAATCTGTAATAGCATTTACGATTGCTTTCGTCGTTCATAATGTCGCTTTAGACCCAAAACAGAGCAAGGAATTTTCGCTTAGTGTGACAGCGTTTGTTGTTGGTGCCACCTTTGCGATGGTAGTTTGGTTAAGTGGAGGAATCAATCCTGGCTGGCCTGGGTGAGTATTATTCACCGTTTTTATTTGAAGCCTCTTCAAACAGCTATTTATTAAAAATTATTGGTTGATTGACAGAGCCGGCACTAATCCGGCAAAATGTTTCGGTCTTTCAGTAGGAAGTGGCAATTTTTCACGTAAGTCAAAAAAAACCTATTTTTAGATCAATAAATTCAAGTTGAACTCATTTAACTTTTTATTTTTTTAACAATAAAGACCACTGGATAGCGTGGGTAGGTCCATTATTCGGCACTTTAACCTACGCTATCGCGTATTCGTTAATGTCACCATTCCACAATTATCCAAAAAAACAACGAAAGGATTCGCTTCGGTTTGATGTTTAATAAATCCTCATGTTAAAATTGTAATACATGTATATAGCAAAGTGTATTTATTTTTCATCGCGTTCCGTAAACAATTTTGAAATTGCAATATATTGCATATAATGTACGGGATACGTATCCTATTTGAGTGGTAAAGTTCATTTCACTTTTTAATTTTTCAGGTTATGTATCCATCAAACGATGGATATTGCTTTAGCTCAATTTCAAGATTTCATCCTCCTAACAAATGAAAAATATCTTCATAGCTATTCCGGCAAGCTCAAATTCCTCAGGATTTTAATTTTTGTTTATGCATAGCGAGACACGTGCTTATTACATAAAACAAATTAAAACATTTCCAACAATATTTTTCACGTAGTATTAGCATGCCAATAAAATAATCTAATCATAAGATGTGTAAAAAATTAATCGAGGAAAAATAATTATACTAATCATGCACATAAATAGTTGTACTGTACATCATGAAAAGAATTCACCATGAAAGGGAGGTCACATGAAATTCTCGAGTTTCTACAAGACGCATATTATTACGGTGGAAGTGAACTGCGGATTTTGACCATAGCACGTAACCAACTGATCAGAATCAAGTGATTTTACACCGTTCGATTCGTCTAGAGATGACGAATCGAATGGTGGTATTTTCACGTGATTAAGATCACCAGGCATTGAGCTATGTCCTTTGAAAAGCACCGTACACCAAAATTTAATATAAATTGGCAAATTCTGGTTTTCAGAACGTACGGGTGACATCTCGATACATGTCGATTCGTCGAATTGAATGTTGGTATTTTCATGCTATGTATGTACATAATTAATATGATATGTTAATGTTCGTTACAATACCACTTCAAAATGGTTTATTATACTACAATTTTTTTGTGTCAAATTTATTCTAAATTGAGTCTAGTTTGTGTGCCATTGTAAATGTATTTTTTCGATTAATAAAGTTTTTATTGTAATAATTTTTATCTTCATCAAAATACTCTGATTTCCATTATGTCCTTGAAATTCACAACAAATTTGAAGAAGTCATGATTGATTCCTCTAACACAAGTCCACTTTCTTACAGAAAAACACAACGTAAAAATCAATCAAATTGGTTAATTGGACAGTATTGAATGGAAAACCGTGAAAGATTATACATGTTGTATTGAAAATCTTGTTACAACAATTATGCATATTGATGGTGGGGGTGTTTTTTGGAAAAAAAGGAAACGTTAGTATTAGTAAATGAAAATATGAATAAGTGAATAAATATACTTGAAAATTATTCATAATCTTGAAAAGATTTAACGGTTTAATTAATTTTAAAGGTTAGAACTTGAATTATTCAGACCGATCTTAATAATTATCTTATCTCAATCCAACTAGACTTTTATGAAATGATATTTGAAAACATGAAAAAAATCAAAAAATTACAGTCAAACATCTCTAGTCACATTTATTTATAAACACAACTCTATAATTTTATTTATTATTAAATAATTTTAAATAAATAAAATTTTTATAATTATATCTTCCTATAGTCATTCAATCATGTCTTTTCAAAAATAATAACTATAGAAATTTGATTATATTTATAACTTTAGAAAAAAATTTATAATATAATGAATTTACTAGATATTAAAATAAAAATTAAAAATCAGCATCTAAAATTTTATTATCTTTATCTAATAATTTGAAAAGAGATTATTTATAGTTATATTAAGTCTCTTTTATAATTATATTACTGAATATGAATAAAGAATAAAAATATAATTATAATATAATTTTTAATAACTGGATTTAATTAGAATAAAATAAAATTAAACATAAAAACAATATTATAAAAAAATTAATATAAAAATAAAATTATAAAAAAATTAACTAAATTAATATAAATTATATAATACGTAATGAGCTTAAAAATTAAAAATATAATCAAAATTCTCTATATTTATTATATAATTATAAAATATATTTTAATTTTAACTAAAAAAATCTTAAATTTATAATTATTTAATTCTATTTTTTAAAAAACAACTCATATATATTTTTATTAGAACTTTTAAAAATAAAACTATTAGTTTAAACTTTAATATTTTAAAATTCAGTAATATTATTTAAATAAAAATATTATTATAAAATTTATATATTAAAACAAATTTAAGTAATACAGTGATAATCAAAAATAAAGACTCAGGAACT